GCTGCTTTCCAACATTGTTTTACAAAATATTCCAATACATCTCGTATAACAAATAAACCCGAAATTCACAAGGATTCGCAAATAATTTACATGGAAGCATTTAAAGTATGAAAGGACGTTCAAGGCAAAATAATAAAAGGTATTGCAGTCTGGAGCACTGGTGTAACCGAGAATCTTGATTCATAATTTGGCTACGATACGTTTTAAATTGCTAATTTTGATTGGTATGCCATTCTTTTAGATTGTGATAGGAGTGTTGCGTTCTCAGCAAAGATCTTGACTGGTCTCACAGCCATATTTTTGATAGAAAAAACCTATTGTATTTTTAGCCCTAGCACTAAAAGACTATATAATTAGAGTGCGATATAACACAAGCCTTGTAATAAACTGCAAAAATATCTTTATTTAGCAACAACACAAAACCGAATCCAAATGCGAGAGTGATGAACCATTATTAAAATACTGTTCAGCTTTCCCAGCAAAGCCTTGCGCAGTACCGTGCAGACCTCAAGCAAGGAGTAGCGAAGTGCAAGTATCTCTCTAGCTCTATGGGGGTGTGGATGAGGAATCCTAGCAAAAATAATAATTTAGGATTTTACAAGTGCGATGAACATGAAAATAAATATGCTCTAGCCATCAATTTCGAGGTCTAGACAGCCACTGTTACTCTCATTAGTTGAAGCCTTCACTTAGATATCTAATGCCTAAGGCCAGCCTTTAACAAAATTAAAGCGACAATAAGCCAAGTAATTTCTCGAGGCTTCTAATCATAATACGTTTGAGTTTCTATGTATTTAACGAGAAACTAGGTTGCTTGAGAAGGGATAGAGACTAATGAAATAGGGAGACGAGTTGTCCTCGGGCGCTAAGTGAAATTTTTAAGCAAAGAGATAAATCTAACTAGATAAGGCTAACTACAAGCCAAATACTTGAATACTTATCATACCTTTCCAAAAGACCTTTAGTTCTGGTTTTCGAGCCAGTATAAGTTGGGATGATGGCAGGAAGGGAAGGGGTTGCGACAGCCACTGTCTCTATGTTCCCAAAGCAGGTAGTATTGTCCCGAACTGGTGGACGAGAATATGTCGAAGAAGCAGTAGAGTCTGGTAGTATGCCACTAGAAGACACAATAATTTCGGTCGAATGCTGGGTTTGGCTCGAATCAGGTTCAAAACATGGAGCTTGATGGCATGCCTGCCGACCGAGCAATCTCAGCTTGTGAGTGGCGGACTCGATCGCCTCACCAGTGATATTCCCTGAAACGAAAATGGTAGATGGAAATGTGGTAGAGTAGCGTCCAGCAATTTTGCTAGCAATATTATTAAGACTTTTTAATCACAGATTATTTGATAGGAAATAGGAAGTCATCAATATCTATCTTCTTCCCAAAGGACCAAACTTTTGTCAGGCTCTACATTCCGAACTAACATTTTAGCATTAGGATCGGCGATGGCTACGAGCAAGTATATTGACAGTCAAATGAAGAAAGGAACATGCGAAGTTAAAGATAATAAATTTTTTATATATTTGATAAGTTAAAACTCTGTGCTAACGATGGCGCCTCTGACGATGCCAAAGAAACGCTTGAGAATGTATCAAATCAATGGTCCGAAACTGGAAATCACGAATACTATGGCAGAGGACACAGGACTAGGTAAATTCCATAAGGTCTCTTTGATGCTGCGAGCAAGTTGCGAAAACGAGGTCAAACCAACAAATCAAAATATTGTTGGAGTACCTTTCATTTCGTTTGAAGAGGCGAGTGGAAGGGATTCGTACGTTGGTTCCACCGGATGCTGTGGGGAGGTTGCCTTGGATCTGCGGTTGTAGATTTGTGCGAATAAGTCCTAGACGCCCAAATGTACGACCGCAGATGCAAGGTAACCTCCCCACAGCATCCGGTGGAACCAACGTACGAAT